TTCTTTTATCATTTCTATCTGTCTGAAATTATTTCAAAGTTAAATTTAAAAATTAGAACACAAGAACTTCTTATTGAAATTAAGTAACCATTGTTACTTAAGGTGAGATCCAGTCCAAAACAAGTTGATATTTTAGCTTGTGCTGGAAAGTATACAATTACCTTTCTATAGTTGAAAGATTATTACTTTCACAGACTTCTCATGATCTGAAGGCCCCAGAATGAGAAATACTGCTTTAAATCATTTGTTATTATTATCCAAATTACAGTACCTAAAATTTTTATAGAGCCTTAGAGGAATTATGCCTCTGCAAAGCTGACTATTTGCTTGCACACTGCTTTTGATGAATGTTTCATCAAAGACCTTCATCAAAAAAGTTTAACAAACTGTTTTTGAATTACAGTAACCATTAGTAAAAAGATTTTTTTAATATACTGACCTTGTTTATGTGACCCTTCTAAACTCACTTATTAGCTCTGGTAGCTTTTTTGGGTAGATTCTTTAGGATCTTTGTTCTTCTGAATGTAATCTTTTTTCTTCAGAAATTTTCTCTTTAGCTTTGATTTTCAGTGGTTTGACTGTGATATGTCCAGGAGTACGTGTGTGTATGTTTTAATATCCTTCTTGAGATGCTCTGAGCTTCTTGGATCTGTGGTTTGTAATTTTTCATTAATTTGAAAGTTATTTCGTCAAATGTGTCTTTATCTCTGTTTTCTCTCCTTGTGAGACTCCAATTACCTGTGTTCGACGATTTGATATTGTCTCACAGCTCTTACATGCTCCATTTTCCTTTTGCCACTCTTTTTTTCTCTTTATGCTTCATTTTAGACACTTTCTAATGCTTTAACTTCAAGGTCACTAATCCCTGAAATGGAGGTGGAGAGATAGGACCCTGCTGGGGTCCTTGGCCTTGCTAAGGATTTTGGTATTTATTTTAAGCAGTGGGAAAACTTTAGAGAATTTCAAGTTAGGGTTGGTGATGGTAGGGGGAGTAATTTTAGTTAATGCAACATACAGTTCAGATCCTACAATGTTTGTATTTTACATATTAAAGCCTCCAAGTTCTTGAAGATAAACCAGGATGTGCTAGAAGGCATCACAAATAAGAGAGTAAACAACATTTGAACTACTCAGTGATATGCCAGTATTTTGTACTTGGTTATAGAATGGGCATAGGCAGCTGACCTCTCCACACCATACTGCATGGATATAAGTTGTTTAAAAGAGTTACAAAATATGTAAACCAAGTATTTATTGAATACTCATAGGGTGCAGGGATTAAAATAAAAACAAATATTACAAAATGTAAAGATATTACTTAGAGACGGTATTTCATTTGTTGACCAAAATATTTTCCCAGTGTAGTAAAGGCTGTAACTTTGAAATATATATGGCATTTTATTACTGTCCCGTCCTTTATACGACCCAGCTTTATCTACTTTTAGCTCCAATTATCATATCTCCTTTGTCTAGAACAGTCCTATCTACAACTAGAGACCTTTGCCTCTCTAGGAAAGGTCCTCCTACATCAAAATTAGCTTAAGGGGCTTCCCTGGTGGCACAGTGGTTGAGAGTCTGCCTGCCAGTGCAGGGGACGCGGGTTCGTGTCCCGGTCCGGGAGGATCTCGTGTGCCGCGGAGCGGCTGGGCCAGTGAGCCGTGGCCGCTGGGCCTGCGCGTCCGGAGCCTGGGCTCCGCAACGGGAGAGGCCACAACAGTGAGAGGCCCGCGTACCGCAAAAAAAAAAAAAAATTAGCTTAAGACTTATTTTTTCATAGAAACTTTGCACCTAAGTTTACTTTTTTGCACAAACTATGATACATTTACTTTTCTTTCTTATCGCCCCTACATCCATCTTTTTTTTTTTTTTTTTTTTTTTTTTTTTGGCCTCTCACTGTCGTGGCCTTTCCCATTGCCGGACGCGCAAGCTCAGCGGCCACGGCTCACGGGCCCAGCCGCTACGCGGCATGTGGGATCCTCCCAGACCGGGGCACGAACCCGTATCCCCTGCATCGGCAGGCGGACTCTCAACCACTGCGCCACCAGGGAGGCCCCCCCTACATCCATCTTTTAAATGTAGTAGGTGTTAATGATGAGTAGAATTCAATAAAGTCTCTTTTGATAAGAGCATGTTTATTCTATAATCCTTTTGTAATTTTTTAGATATGCCATTTAATTGTATTAAAAATTTGTATATATAATTCGTTTATATATTTTTCACTTATCTTTAAAGGTCTGTATGGCTTCACCTTGTTTTCTTCACTCAAACGTAAATTCTTCAAAGCACAGACTGTGAGTTCATTCTCCTTGATTACTCCTTCATAGTACCAAGCCCAGTGATTCACACGTTGGTGCTCAATTTATGTTTAGGGAAGATTATGGTGGTGGTTCTTAACCTTTTTCTTTCTGTGGCATGCTTTCAAATAATAGAATTTTTGGTGATGTATTTGAGGGCATTAGAAACATGAAGCAACTTGAAACAAGTCAACAGTTATTACAGAATAATTGCTACTACAGTATATAAAAATGTCTTCAGTATCTGTGCGAGCATTTACAGTTACCTCACTGTTTGAATAGAGTTATTTATGGTCCTGAAAGTGTTCTGTTAAAAGTTCATTGAACAAAAAATTCTCATGCTTTCTGTTATTACATTGATGTCAAGTTACGCTTCTTATTTCTTACTGGTAGCTAGTTATACAACTGCTATACTGAAAACTGCAGAACTCTTGACATATAGCAATTCCATCCAAACCTATGCATTAAGAGACTTGACAGACTCTAGGGGGATTTCCCTGGTGGTCCAGTGGTTAAGACTCTGCACTTCCACTGCAGGGGTCACGCTGGGGAACTAAGATCCTGCATGCCACGCAGTGCGACCAAAAAAAAAAGAGAGAGACCTAACAAACTCTAGCTTGGCTCTAGCAGCTTGAGGCCATGTCCCTAGAAGAACCCCAGACCCCTGAGAAAGCTCAATGCTCCCAGGAGAATTTACTGTTTGTTCGAGCCAAAACCTGGTGATAGAGCCCTGAACTCCCTCTTAGAGCAGTTACTTGAGAATGCTTGCAATTATAAATCCTTTCTTTGCCCTCTAAGATGTAAATCTACCACCCAAAACTGTTTCTTCAAAGACTTGAGAGCTGTCTCTTTGAAATGCAAACATCCAGGGAGATAACTCTCTCTCTCATCCTCAGTCCCTGCATCTGCATAAATAAACAATTTCCTAAAATTCAATATGATAAGTGCTATCATATTGGGGATAACCGCCTAACTTCAGTGGCTGCCTGGCTTCAACTTGCACCAACGCCTCCTGCCATAAAGGTAGATGTTTATTTCTCCTCTGGATAAACTCCAGTGAACAACTCCAGGTGTCCTAGTCACATAAACTAACGCCCCTTAAAACCCCTGCAGTGCCTTTCCCTGAACACACCCAGCTTTTTAAGTCTCCAGCCCTTTGTTTCAGGAAAGATGAGTTCAATTCACATTGGACCCTCTTTCCTATTGCAATAGTATTACTGAATAAAATCTATCCTCACAGCTTTGACTACTGTCCAGTTTTGTTTTTGACGATATTATATTGCATTACCTGCAGTTGCTGCAGAAATGTATTTTATATGTTGATCACAATTTTGTAGCATTTCCACTCAGGAAATAAGCACTGGGCAGCCGCATATTGGATCTGTGTTAGGGGACGATGCTCTATGGGTCTCCTGTGTCTCTGCACAACTTGTTTACAGAGACACTGACTGCCTTTGTTCCAGACAATCTTCTCAAGAATGTTTGTGTAGTGAACAACCTTGGAAGATAAAGTTAGTATCTCCCTTTGGAGCAAAAGGTAAGTCTGTTTATTGTCCAGTATAATAAAGATGATACCTCCCTTCAGGGCAAACGTCAAACAGGCTTACTGCCCATTATGAAAGATTTAGGTTCCCTGACCTTGGCTGAGATTCCTCTCCTGTGATACAACTCACCGTGTGTGTAGTTACTGTGCAGCTCTCTTTCTATTACCCTGTGGGAAATGGGGCTCAGGGAGCCAGTGGCCCAGAAATCACACAATAAACTGGATGATGCCACCTGGAAGTGTGGGCATTAACTCCAACTCCCCATGGGTGAATTTTAACCAGTAGGAAAGACGAGACAAGAGGGAGCTGGACAAATAAATCCCCCCTCTTTCCCCTTCCTCCTTCCCATAGACTACTCCAGGCCACACTTTGCCCTTGCAGCCCATTAAGGGAAATCCTGTGTGCCTGGTGGATGCACCTGCATAGTGGTCTGCTCTGTCTCTTGAAGGCATCTTCTAAGGTGGTAGCCAGGCAGTAATGTACTACACATTGTTTCAAACTTTTCTTACCTCACTTTCTTTTCCTCAACCTCACTGCCCTGGGTTTGCCCTTCCCAACTGAAAGAGCCATGCCTTAATCATTGTCTCAGTTTTCTGGAGAATCCAGGCTGAGGTAGTGGCTAAGTAAAGAAGGAGGACTATAGATTGTAAAAGGATAAACAGGTAAAAATATGCTCTCAGGAACACACATTTTAGAAGCATAAATAAACAATTTCCAAAAGTTCAGTATGATAATTGCTACTATAGAAATATGTATGATTGGCTTCAAGGAGGCAACCCTGAGAGAGCACTATGGTGTTGAGAACAACTGGACAAAGTACATGTGACTCAAGGCAGAAATGACTTAAAGCAGAATGAACTGATTAAGAAGCAGTTAGGAGGCCTTCAAGATGGCAGAGGAGTAAGACATGGAGATCATCTTCCTCCCCACAAATACATCAGAAATACGTCTACATGTGGAGCAACTCCTACAGAGCACCTACGGAACGCTGGCAGAAGACCTCAGACTTCCCAAAAGGCAAGTAAATCCCCACGTACCTGGGTAGGGGAAAGAAAAAAGAAAAAACAGAGACAAAAGAATAGGGACGGGACCTGCACCAGTGGGAGGGAGCTGTGAAGGAGGAAAGATTTCCACACACGAGGAAGGCCCTGCACTGGTAGACATGACGGGTGGACGGCAGGTAAGCTTCAGAGCCACAGAGGACAGCGCAGCAACTGGGGCGCGGAGGGCAAAGCGGAGAGATTCCCGCACAGAGCATCGGTGCCGACCGGCACTCACCAGCCCGAGAGGCTTGTGTGCTCACCTGCCGGGGAGGGCGGGGCTGCGAGCTGAGGCTCGGGCTTCGGAGGTAAGACCCCAGGGAGAGGACTGGGGTTGGCTGCGTGGACACAGCCTGAAGGGGGCTAGTGTGCCACGGCTAGCTGGGAGGGAGCCCGGGAAAAAGTCTGGACCTGCCTAAGAGGCAAGAGACCATAGTTTCGGGGTGCGCGAGGAGAGGGGATTCAGAGCACCGCCTAAACGAGCTCCAGAGACGGGCGCAAGCCGTGGCTATCGGTGCGGACACCAGAGGCGGGCATGAGACACTAAGGCTGCTGCTGCAGCCACCAAGAAGCCTGTGTGCAAGCACAGGTCGCTATACACATGCCCCCCCACCCCCTCCCCCACTGGGAGCTTTGCAGCCTGCCACCACCAGGGTCCCATGATCCAGGGACAACTTCCCCGGGAGAACACATGGTGCGCCTCACGCTGTTGCAAAGTCACCCCAGCCTCTGCCGCCAGCAGGCTCGCCCTGCATTCCAGTTATAACTGCCTTACCCCTCCCTCCCCCCCGGCCTGAGTGAGCCGGAGCCCCCTAATCAGCCGCTGCTTTAACCCCATCCTGTCTGGGCAAGAAGAGATGCCTGAGGGCAACCTAAACACAGAGGCAGGGCCAAATCCAAAGCTGAACCCCAGGAGCTGTGCAAACAAAGAAGAGAAAGGGAAATTTCTCCGTGCAGCCCCAGGAGCAGCAGATTAAAGCCCCACAAGCAACTTGAGGTACGCTGCATCTGTGGAATACCTGAATAGACAATGAATCACCCCAAAATTGAGGGGGTGGACTTTGAGAGCAGCTGTAGACTTGAGGTTTGCTGTCTACGACTGACTTGTTTCTGATTTTTACGTTTATCTTAGTATAGTTTTTAGCACTTGTTATCACTGGTGGATTTGTTTATTGATTTGGTTGATCTCTTCTTTTCTTTTTTATTACTTATTAATTTTAGTAATTTTTTAAATTTTAATTGTTTATTTATTTATCTTTCTTTTTTTCTCCCTTTTCTTCTAAGCCATGTGGCTGACAGAATCTTGGTGCTCCAGCCTGATGTTAGGCCTGAGCCTCTGAGGTGGGAGAGCCAAGTTCAGGACATTGGACCACCAGAGACCCCCTGGCCCCATGTAATATCAATCAGCAAGAGCTCTCCCAGAGATCTCCCTCTCAACGCTAAGACTCAGCTCAACCCATCAGCCAGCAAGCTCCAGTGCTGGATGCCCCAGGCCAAACAACTAGCAAGACAGGAACGCAACCCCACCCATTAGAACAGAGGCTGCCTAAAGTCATACTAAGTTCACAGACACCCCAAAACACACCACCAGACACAGAAAGACAAGATCCAGCCCCACCCACCAGAACACAGGCACCAGTCCCCTTGACCAGGAAGCCTACACAAGCCACTGAACCAACCATACCCACTGGGAGCAGACACCAAAAACAACGGGAACTACGAACCTGAGGCCTGCAAAAAGGAGACACCAAACACAGTAGGTTAAGCAAAATAGGAAGACAGAGAAGTATGCAACAGATGAGGAAGCAAGGTAAAAACCCACCAGACCAAACAAATGAGGAGGAAATAGGCAGTCTACCTGAAAAAAAATTCAGAGTAATGATAGTAAATGTGAGGCAAAAACTAGGAAATAGAATGGAAAAAATACAAAAAGTGTTTAGCAAGGACCTAGAGGGACTAAAGAGCAAACAAACAATAACAAACAAACAATAAATGAAATTTAAAATTCTCTGGAAGGAATCAATAGGAGAATAACTGATGCAGAAGAATGGATAAGTGACCTGGAAGATAAAATAGTGGAAATAACTACCACAGAGCAGAATAAAGAAAAAAGAAAGAAAAGAATTGAAGACAGTCTTGGAGACATCTGGGACAACATAAAATGCACCACCATTCAAATTATAGGGGTCCCAGAGGAGGAAGAGAGAAAAGATGGACTGAGAAAATATTTGAAGAGATTATAGCTGAAAACTTCCCTAACATAGGAAAGGAAATAGTCAATTAAGTCCAGGAAGCACACAGAGTCCCATACAGGAGAAACATACAAAGACACATATTAATCAAACTATCAAAAATTAAATACAAAGAAGAAATATTAAAAGCAGCAAGGGAAAAGCAACAAATAGCATACAACGGAATCCCCATAAGGTTAACAGCTAATCTTTCAGCAGAAACTCTGCAAGCCAGAAAGGAGTGGCAGGACATATTTAAAGTGATGAAAGGGAAAAACCTACAACCAAGATTACTCTACCCAGCAAGGATCTCATTCAGGTTCGATGGAGAAATTAAAACCTTTACAGACAAGCAAAAGCTAAGAGAATTCAGCACCACAAAACCAGCTCTACAGCAAATGCTAAAGGAAATTCTCTAGGCAGGAAACACAAGAGAAGGAAAAGACAATGAGAAACTGAAAACAATTAAGAAAATGGTAACAGGAACATACATATCGATAATTACCTTAAACGTGAATGGATTAAATGTTCCAATCAAAAGACATGGACTGGCTGAATGGATACAAAAACCAGACCCATATATATGCTGTCTACAAGAGACTCACTTCAGACCTAGGGACGCATACAGACTGAAAGTGAGGGGATGGAAAAAGATATTCCATGCAAATGGAAATCAAAAGAAAGCTGGAGTAGCAATTCTCATATCAGACAAAATAGACTTTAAAATAAAGACTATTACAAGAGACAAGGAAGGACACTACATAATGATCAAAGGATCAATCAAGAAGATATAGCAATTGTAAATATTTATGCACCCAACATAGGAGCACCACAATACATAAGGCAAATGCTAACAGTCATAACAGGGGAAATCGACAGTAACACAATCATTGTAGGGGATTTTAGTACCCCACTTTCACTAATGGACAGATTGTCCAAAATGAAAATAAATAAGAAAACACAAGCTTTAAATGATACTTTAAACAAGATGGACTTCATTTATATTTATAGGACATTTCATTCAAACACAACAGAATACACTTTCTTCTCAAGTGTTCATGGAACATTCTCCTGGATAGATCATATCTTGGGTCACAAATCAAGCCTTGGTAAATTTAAGAAAATTGAAATCATATCAAGTATTTTGTCCAATCACAATGCTATGAGACTAGATATCAATTACAGGAAAAAATCTGTAAAAAAAATACAAACACATGGATGCTAAACAATACATTACTAAATAACCAAGAGATCACTGAAGAAATCAAAGAGGAAATCAAAAAATATGTAGAAACAAATGACAATGAAAACACGATGACCCAAAACCTATGGATGCACCAAAAGCAGTTCTAAGAGGGAATTTTATAACAATACAATCTTACCTCGAGAAACAACAAACAACTCAAATAAACAACCTAAACTTACATCTAAAGCAATTAGAGAAAGAAGAACAGAAAAAAACCAAAGTTAGCAGAAGGCAAGAAATCATAAAGATCAGATCAGATTTCAAGGAAAAAGAAATGAAGGAAAAAATAGCAAAGGTCAATAAAACTAGAAGCTTGTTCTTTGAGAAGATACACAAAATTGGTAAACCATTAGCCAGACTCATCAGGAAAAAAAGGGAGAAGACTCAAATCAACAGAATTAGAAATGAAAAAAAGCTTTTGCACAGCAAAGGAAACCATAAACAAGACAAAAAGACAACCCTCATAATGGGGGAAAATATTTGCAAATGAAGCAACTGACAAAGGATTAATCTCCAAAATTTACAAGCAGCTCATGCAGCTCAATACCCAAAAAACAAACAACCCAATCGAAAAATGGGCAGAAGACCTAAATAGCATTTCTCCAAAGAAGATACACAGATTGCCAACAAACACATAAAAGGATGCTCAACATCACTGATCATTAGAGAAATGCAAATCAAAACTACAATGAGGTATCACCTCACACCAGTCAGAATGGCCATCATCAAAAAATCTACAAACAATAAATGCTGGAGAGGGTGTGCAGAAAAGGGAACCCTCTTGCACTGTTGGTATGAATGTAAATTGCTAAAGCCACTATGGAGAACAGTATGGAGGTTCCTCAAAAAACTAAAAATAGAACTACCATATGACCCAGTAATCCCACTACTGGGCATATACCCTGAGAAAACCATAATTCAAAAAGAGGCATGGTCTTCCCTGGTGGCGCAGTGGTTGAGAGTCCGCCTGCCGATGCAGGGGATACGGGTTCGTGCCCCGGTCTGGGAGGATCCCACATGCTGTGGAGCGGCTGGGCCCGTGAGCCATGGCCGTTGAGCCTGCTCGTCCGGAGCCTGTGCTCCGCAATGGGAGAGGCCACAACAGGGAGAGGCCCACATACGGCAAAAAAAAAAAAAAAAAAAGAGGCATGTACTACAATGTTCACTGAGGCTCTATTTACAGTAGCCAGGTCATGGAAGCAACCCAAGTGTCCACCAACAGATGAATGGATAAAGAAGATGTAGCACATATATACAATGAGATATTACTCAGCCACAAAAAGAAACAAAATTGAGTTATTTGTAGTGAGGTGGATGGACTTAGAGTCTGTCATACAGAGTGCAGTAAGTCAGAAAGTGAAAAACAAATACTGTATGCTAACACATATATATGGAATGTAAAAAAAAAAGGTTCTGATGAACCTAGGGGAAGGACAGGAATAAAGACACAGTTGTAGAGAATGGACTTGAGGACATGGGGAGGGGAAAGGGTAAGCTGGGACGAAGTGAGAGAGTAGCATTGACATATATACACTACTAAGTGTAAAATAGGTAGCTTGAGAAGCAGGTGCATCGCATGGGGAGATCAGCTCAGTGCTTTGTGACTATCTAGAGGGGTGGGATATGAAAGGTGGTAGGGAGATGCAAGAGGGAGGGGATATCG